CATTCTCCAATATGATATTTCTTGCACTTAGGACATATCTGAATCTAAGAATTCATCTGTTTATCATTTCCTCTTTCTTCATTGCTAGTAAAGTTGATTTTAAAGTATTGTGCTTGTGGAAATATTTTATTGTCGTTGTCATCATTCTTCCTTCTTTGGTTTGTACCTCTGGCTTTCTTCATTGCCTCCTCAACTTCCTTTATGTTTGCTTCAACGTCTCTGCACCTGTTTATTAGTGATGACAAGTTTCTTATTTGATATCTTATTATCATACTTTTAAGTTTAGGTTTTATTCCATATTCAAACTTAGTTGTCAACCATTCTTCATCAGGTTGTTTTTTGTACATAATTGGAATCTCTAGATAGTTTCTCAAATTTTGCCACATATTCACCAACAGTCATATTTTCTTGTTTTAATTCAAGGAATTATATTTCCTTCTTGTTTCTTTCACTTTGTGAAAACTATTTTTCCAGAAAGGCATCCTTAAATGTTGTCCAAGTAATTTCTGTTCCTTGTCTTTGGAAGTATCTTTTGGTATTTGTCTACCAATGTTTTGCTTCTCCAATCAACATATATGTGGCAAAATTTAACCGATAAATAATAGGACAATCCATTACCAGGAATATTGTCTCGAGTTCTTTTATCCATTCCACAACTGTCTCAGGTTTATAATCTCCACGAAAAGTGGAAGGTTTATGCTTATGGAATTCAGTTAATCCTTCGTAATCAGGATTAGATCCTCCCTGAGTATTCACAGATCTAGGTCCACTTTCACTCTCAGAGTTATGAGTGTGGTTTCTGGTTGCATGGTCCTCCCTTAGCTCCTGAATAATTAGCCGATTTGTCATAGTCTGTTCTTTAAGAGCTTCTGCCAACCGGGTAAATGCATCAGTTACTGGGTTAACTTCTGGATCAGAAGTTGAAGATGTTTGCCTTGTATCTGTCATAGATCTACATATATTGTTTCATGATAGTGAGTTGGACAGACTCAATACTAATAATTCAAAATATGCATGATCTATGACAAAATACCACGCTACATCTAAATTAAGTCTTTTATTTACCTGAATCGTTTTGATACCATAAAATGTAATATCCTCTATAATTAACTAGCATAGATAATATCACATTAATTCTTAAATGAGATTCTAACGCAGTGGATATCAAATAAGTCATGATAAAATATTTCTAAAATTTAATTATACAGAAGCCAAGTTCACTATTACATCATAAATATATCATAATCTAAAGTGAAAAGAAACATTTTTTTTATTCTATTAGTTGCTCCACCGAACTCCGTATAGTCTTCAAAGTCTTTAACCATAGTATTTTACCCTACTCCAAAGCTACACATACTGACCTGTTTATTCTGGAAAGGTTAGCATAAAAATAAACAAATGTGAGATAAATCTCAGTAATATTGAGATTTTCGAACTATAACCAATCCAACCACTTTAGTAAAAATTATCATTCTATCAAAATACGTTTATAATAATAAAATAATATCATGAATAATAAATATAAGCCCCAATCTTTGTGCGTTTCAACAAATATATACCCAATCCTTTGTGAGTTCTACCCAAACCTTTGTGGGTTTCTGCATATAAACATAACAAAGAGTATGTAATCTTAAACTGGAATGACTAATGCTCAATTCTGTGAGCGCCCAAATTCTGCTGGATTCTGTATGTTAAAGGTTCTGTATGGCGGAGCTCAAGCCATGATAACACGTCCCTTATCATATAACCATTCTGATCCCCTTGTGGGTTAGTCACATCAGAATTATTCAGTAAAAGATTACATATTTCGTAATATTCTTTTGGCACTAAAGGAATTTCTTAGTTCTACGGTCTTGATTCTAAATTATTCTCAAAATTGATATGAATAAATTAATCAAATCCATAAAATCAAAGATAAGAGACAAATCAAAATAATAAAAGAGATTAAGAAGAAAATATTTGAACAGAGTAACGACAAATTCACTGTTTTTCAAGAAATAACTTCAGAAATACCAACTTTAAACATAATATAGATGAAGAAGAATTAAAATAAGAGAATGAAGTTTTCTCCCAATGTTATCTTTCTATTTTCTTTTCCCTCTCTTTTCCTCTTTCTCCTTACCTTTTTTTTTCTTTTTTTCTCTCGTTTCCTCTATCTTTTTTCTCCTTCCTCTTTCTTTCCTTTTATCTTTATCTCTTCCTCTCAATTTCCTAATTCCTACGTAACATTAGGGGGGGTTATAAAGTGGTTTTTAATTGATTTTTTTTAAAATATAATACAAATATCTTTTTTAAAGATTCCATTTTTCAAAGTCTTCAATTTTGGTAAAAGATGCCATTAGATATTTTGTGTTTCTTCAAAAACATCTTCTCTTTTTTTCTTTTTTAATTTGGATATTACACTTTTCTCTCTCAATATATATATATATATATATATATATATATATATATATATATATATAAATATATATATATATATTGTTAGGAGTGTGGCTTCCATACTCAAGAAGGGGGCAAATTGAGTATTACAAGATTTTCGTAAAAGCCCCATTCTAGTTTCTAAATAATCATCTAAAGCACACTTTGATATATGAAAAACTAATGAATGCATTCAAACAATCCATAACATATAATAAATCACAATTATAGAACTTATTCTAGCATATACAAGATATCAAAGAAGCAATTAAAGTGGTAGAAATAAAGAGTTTAGAGTTTAGAGAATTGTAAACACAATATATCCTGATTTGGTCACCACTACTTGTGACCTACGTCCAGACTAAAGCCGCTCGATCAACTCTTTCACTAATGGTCAAGCTTCACGGGTGCTTGACAAACCTTTTTAATCTTCTAAGACTTCGGGTTCTTGGATACCTCCAAGTTTACGGGTACTTGGCAACCTTACAATTCACTCCAAATTTACTTAGGTAATTGGCTACCTCTCAAACAATGGGTCTCAAAATCCTTTCAACTCAAGAATATAAGGAGAGAAATATTTGGAAATGAATATACACTCTCAAAGTGTGGATATACAACTTGAAGCACTATGGGTATATGAATTTTCAAAATATGAACTCAAATATGTTTGATCTTTGAAAGATATGAAATAATATGCAGATGATAGAGTAGAAACTCTGAAATCATCCTTAAGATGTGTAGGAATAGTGATCATCACGTTTTAGGGTGACAAAGAATGTATTTATAATGATTTTTTTTGCAAAACTAGCCGTTATAGGCTTTATGTCGTAGTGAGAATCGATTCTCATACTTAGGGAATCGATTCCCAACCATTCCAGGAAGAGGGAATCAATTTCCACATGGTGGTAATCGATTCCCAACCTGTTGGAAGGCTGGAAATTTGACAGCAATAATACTATTTGTTATTTTGGGCATAACTTAAGCTATTCTTGTCGGATTAATGTGATCTTGGTCTTGTTGGAAATATAAAAGAAAGATCTACTACTTCTATGAAGAACACAAGATCCAAATCCATCATATTGGATAAGAAAAATTGTATGGAAGACAACAGCGAAATTATGCAACAAATTTTAAGTTCAAATGTGTTCTAGCTTGCTTCCAACCATTTTTTTGTGAAAGATCTTGAAATGATAAATATGTTTTGAAGTTATAAAATATGTCAAGGATCTTTTCCATTGGTTTTTCAAATTTCTTTCAAGTATATAAAGGTTATAATTATGCAATTCGAAAAACACGTTTACTTTGAGAAAACTTTGAGCTCATGCAATGCAATCTACCATATATCCTCACATATATTCTAAGTCCTAAAGATATATTCTAAATATGATTTTAGACTTAGCTTCAAGTCTTGTGTCTTGGATCTTTACTTGAGTTTGATGCTTTTGACTTGTTGGATATGACAATGCTTGACATTTGTTGGTTTTGATCATTTTTCACCATGGTTAAGATATTGAGCTTCTCTTAGATGTTGTCTATGATTTGTTGTATTTGATCTTGGTGTTGCTCTTCTAATTATTCCTTGTTGCTCTTTATCCAAGCGTCTCTATTTACTTTGATATGTCATTACTCTTCTTGTGTGGTTACATCATATATCTTCAATATCCACATATGGTTGATTCTTTTTGCTCTTGATTAATACTCTTCTCTTTTTGTTGTTGCCACTTTGTAATTATCAAAACATACATTGAATTTACGTATATATATAGGGTTAGGATCATTTTACACCAGTGTAAGTTACACACTTAATCTTGTCCGTTAATTCCACTTATATCTAAGTGCTCAAATTTTTTCGTAATGTGAGCCATTGGATATATATATATATATATATATATATATATATATATATATATATATAGGGTCAGGATCATTTTACACCAGTGTAAATTACACTCTTAAACTTGTCCGTTAATCCCACTTATATCTAAGAGCTCAAATTTTTTCGTAATGTGAGCCATTGGATACAAGTAGATCAATGGTCAAGATTGAGTGTAAGACTTCTAACTCTTACACCGGTGTAAGAATATCCTGCCCCATTGATATAATTGCTTGATTGCTTCTACTTTACGATACCTTTCATTGCATCATGCGATTAGAAAAAGGAAAAAAAAAACTATGAAGATAGAGGTAGGATATTGTAACAATCAATTAATATTATTACCAAACAATTTCACCGTTAGATCAATTATGTTGATCCAATGATTATATTTATTTTCATCTTTGTATGGTTATGATTTCTCATATTTAATGTGAAATCATTAAATGTGGGAAATCATAACCATACAAAGGTGAAAATAAATATAAAATATTAAATATGAAAAATTATAATCATACAAAGATGAAAATAAATATAACTATTGAATCAACATAATCAATCTAACAGTGAAATTAATTGATAATAATATTGATAGTAATGATAATTGATTGTTACAGTATCTTTCGTACGAAGATAAGAAAGAAATGTTTAAGGTTCTTTGAAAAAGACATACACATATATTTATTAAAATGATAAACTAAAAGAAAACTCATTGAATTGGTTGAGGTGGTAATGTCTTATTGGCTAAAAAGTGTCGAAGTAGCTGAAGAGCTTGCTTGGGAGCGAAAGCAGGAACCTCGTGACCAGAACCTCTTATGGTCACATAAGTGAGCCCATCGTATACAACGGTCCATCCTCCCACCTGTAATCCACCCTTCATTCTTAAGTTCAAACTATAATTGAATTAATAGCAGGGTTACACACTTACACCAATTTAGCCTAGAGTTTTAAAGAAAACTAAAATTTTGAGCAAGTTGTATGTTATACTTTAGCATAATTTAATTCCCTTGGAAAAGAAAAACCAAGGAAAGTCTCAAAATACACTATGGTTTACCTGCTGGCTGGTATACCAGGGAGTCCAATCTTGAACAATGCTGAGCCCCAGTTTTCTCAGTGTGTATCTTGTTGCAGTCACTGGAATTCTTCCATCGGTATCTCCACTATAATTCAAATAAACCAAGAAATAAATATTGGTACTATTTATTCATACAAAAAAATCTTAGTAGGATAAGTTGTACTCAGCAATATTACAATTGGTTTAACAAATTATTAGAAATAGATAATTAAAAAAAAAAACTATTAGTTACTCGTGGTTTTCAAAATGGACTAACAAATATGTTGCAATTTACCTGTAAACCCATACGCGAATACCACCAGCAATAAGCTTTCTGATGACAGGAAGCATGGACTGTGGTGCATCACTCCAAAATGAGATATTATTGCTAAGGACAAACAAAAGGACAGCATCAATACAGTTTTTATTTATTATTTTTCAACCTATCAGATATGTATTAATATATATGGTACAGATTAAGGTTTAATTTGATGATTTTTTCCAATATATAATGTTAACAAAGTACTGAAGTTAATTGATCAGATAAATAAATATCATATTTAGAAAAGAAAAAACAGAAAAAGAGTACAGAATAGAAAAAGGTAAGGTGGACCAAAACCTGCAGTGAGTCCATGGATAGGGAATATTGGTAACATTGGCATGCAGTGCCTTTTGAACTTCTGGCATATTTAGGTACACATAAGTGTAATCTGATGCACAAGGATCATATCCAGCTGGTTTTTTATGCCACCCATCCTGTTAAAATCAAATACACCAACATGATACTTGTTTTGCAGTTCATTCGGCAAGTGATGTTATTTGTACCATATTTAGATATGATATTGTACTTTGTGCATAATATACAAATAGAAGTGTTTAATTTATAAAGAGGAGAAAAATAAGATGGGATCATTTACACTCAGATGTTGCCATCCGTAAAGTTATTCAAATGATGTACTATAAATCTTTTTTTTGACATTCACGATAAAAGTTATATTTATAAATTTTTTATTTACAAATTACAATATAAATCTTTTTCTTAATATTCATGGAGAATGTTATATTTACAAACTTTTTATTTAGAAATTCTTACAAATTACGTTATGTCTGACCGGTAACACCCTCTTGAGTAGAGTGTTACCGATAAGACATAATATAATTTGTAAAAAAAAGTTTGTGAATATAACCCTAGTCAATATTCATTACTTAACTAGTGTACGAGGAATTCGAGAGAGAAACACTGTTAAGTTGAGGAAAGCTCACAAATTTGGAAAAAGAATGAGGGGATACGCCTTTGATGGCAGGGACGTTCCTTCTGTTGCTGTCGCTGTTGTTGGTGAGACACATGGGAGTGTACAAGCTGTACATGTCAATAATATTATACACATTGAAGTACTTATCCATTTCATTACTGCAGTCATCTGTTTTATTGGGAAGGCTGAAGTTGCATTTGGTTGTGATGTTATGGTATAAACCATCAGATATCACAGCATGATCCCACGCATAATCTATCATACCCTTTTGGTCTGTCTCATCATCCATTAGTGCATTTCCAATCTGCACAAGCAGTGTCATTGTCTCAAATTCAAAATGGTTTCACTTCGTTTCTTTCGGACTTTTATATTTGATTAATTCATTATGCATAGGTAGAGCTTGATGAGATAGAAAAATTCACCATGAACCCTTTGAAGTTAATGTAGTCTTCTTTGGCAGGATTATGATTATTATCGAAAATGAGCTCAGAAAGCTGGGGAACATAGTGTCCTGAAATGTCATACACAAAAATGAGCTCAATGTATATTTCACAAAGAAAATGTATGGTGTTTTAGAACTTAAAAATACCTGCATAACTTTCGCCAGCAATGTAGAACTCTTGTGATCTGAATTGTGGAAACCTCCTAAGCCACTTGATGATAAAGATGTGTGAATCCATAGCTGGTCATGGAAAATCAATACCCATCAATAAATCAGATTAAGTGAAAGCAAGAAAAAAAAAGGTGTATAAATCCTTAGATGATAGCAGCATTACCAGTAACGGTGTCACCAAGCTCACTAATATCATTGCTGGTGTTGGTGTAGGAGAATCCCACTCCAACAGGTGATTCCAGAAACAAAAGATTTGCCGCTGTAGAAAATAGAAATCATAATGGTTAAGTATTATTGCTTTCTTTAGCCCAGTTTTTTTTTTTTTTAATAAATAAAAAAGATCATATATAGATGTGCATAATAAAAAAGTATTGCAAAGTTTTAAAAGCTGTACCATGTTGACAAATTATATCTAATGAAGTAACAATGTCATAACTTCATCATTCAGAACATAAATAAATTCTCTTAATCACATATGAGTAAGCAAAGTGCAAAATTAGAAGTCATGCAATAATTTTAAACTTCAAAATTTTCACCATTGTCACCAATAATACAAGTTTATCTCGAATTAACACATTTATCAAATTCACGAATGAACTTCCGAGTTTAAAGGACCTTGTTTTTGAGTATCAATTTAAATTCACCAACCTTTATTCCAAGAATAAGGGTTCAACTTTAGCTTTGGTTGGCTGCTATTCTGTGGAAAGAAGGGTCCTAGCTCCTCTGCTTCTCCATAACCAATTGAGGAACAACCAGGACCTGAAACAGTCATGCATTTTTTCACATTAGTTGCAATGATCGATGTACATTTATGTAACAATAAGTTATCAATTCGTATAGGCTATAGCTAATTTCTATTTACTTCTCAATTGTCTATTAGAAACATGAATACTAGATACTAGATACCATAAGAATAAAGACCAGCAAAATAAATAAATAAATAACATGGGCCATCTTTTCACATTATAGTAATACATTCACATGCATAACAGCTTAAGTCTTAACTTGGAGAAAAAATTTCAAATGCACCGAATCGATATATAATATCTGCCAGTAATATTATTAAAAAATGAATTTAATCCTCGTAAAAAAAAAGATGAACCTAATCTTAATTGAAGAGTCCTTAGCATTAAAAACAATTGCATATATAAGCATATAATAGCACAACTGCACAAGTGATTAATGTGATTAATTAAAAGAATAATTTTGTAGGACAGGATAAGCTAATTATGACTTCGAGTTTGAATGATATCAGTTTGCTGAAAATTTGCAACTTGTAGATTGCGTGTGTTATCTATAAGCTGATTTTTTATTGTTAAAAGATGAAAGGCTTTAAGTGGGGGAAAGTATTGGGTCACGGCATGTGGTTCGACTTAATGATTTATTTTATGGGAAAATGTTTCCGCAGTTAATGCAGAGAAGTTATCTGCATTTATTTCTAAAATGACGTCGTTTTGGTATTAAAATTTTAAAAAATTATAAATATAAAGACTATTATAACCCTAAAATAAATTAAAATTACAAAAACATCATGATTTCTGTCCCAAAACGACGTCATATTGACTTACTGTAGATAACTTATCTGCAACGAACCCTTATTTTATTGGGGAGAAAGGCTTAATGTTACAAAGCATTTTTGACCAAATCGTCTCCTAAAGAAATGGCCGTTGATCGCTTATGCACATGTGATGTGCTCATTCTAAAAAATTTCAAAGCTATTACCTGTATTATGTCTTGTTTAAATTGCCATATAATTTGTAAGCATGTCGTCTTGTATTATATAGCATTTCTCTTTATCGAGACGACCAATAAAATCATTATTTTGGTTGGACAAGCTCTAATGTGCTGTGAATTGTGATGTTCCTCGTGTTCGTTCTTTCTTCACAATTCATTATTTTATTTTATTTTGCTACAGAAACAAAACACAAGCTGTGTCCCCCCTCCCAAAAAATAAAAACTGCAAGATAGAAAAATTTACTCAAAAAATTATAATATATATCCTACATCTCTTCTCTCATATTTCCTAGTCGTTTATGACATTTTTGCTTAATCACGAAAGCAATAAAACTATAACTAACTTTGAAAAGTGACAGTGAGTTTATAAAGTGTTGAGATATATAGTCCCACATTGATGATTGGATGGGCAACTAATATGGCCTTCATAAGGCCTTGGGCACTCTCACCCTTTGAGCGAGCTATTGGGGAGATGTATCCCAAGGTTCTTTAGAGGATAAAAGCTACATATACATAATGGATACAAAAATCAAAATCAAACTAATAACGACTGATTTGAGTAGTTCGTCTGCCTCATATATATATATATATATATATATATATATATATATATATATATATAGATTTTATAATTTTCATTCAACATGAGAATTGAAATCTTCCTACACACTCTTCGATTTTCGTGCTGACATGGGTCCTACACATAATTTTTTCTAACATATGGATCTCACATGCCTGACATGGGTCCTACACATAATTTTTTCTAATATATGGATCTCACATGCTTTTTGGCTCTACCACATAAGATTTTAATTCTCCTGTAACATAAGAATTATAAAACACTACATATATATATATATATATATATATATATATATATATATATATATATATATATAAAAAATATTTATCATTTTAAATGATACAAAGTTATGTCATTTTAAGAGAGAGATAGACATAGAATAAATTTTTTTATTTAAATTTTAAATTAAAAAAACACCAATTTTCTTTCTCCCATGATTTTCATTTTCTGTGTCTATCTCTCTCCTAAAATGACATAAATTATGTCATTTAAAATGACAAACACCAAGCCCTATATATATATATATATATGGGAAAAACATTTCTCAAACAGCTTGAGATAAGTTTATCTCCGGTTGTCCCAAAACTACGTCGTTTTGCTTATTTATTTCCTTATATTAATTGATTCACCTTTGAATGGTTATGATTCTCTTTTTTCTCTCTCTTCCTTTATCACCATTAATTCATCTTTGTACGGTTATAATTTAGTAGTCGGAGATAAAATTATCTCAAGCAGCTTGAGAAACGATAAGCCTTATAAATATATATATATATATATATATATATATATATATATTCAACTTGGATGCTATTATTATTTTAAAAAGAAAAGTAAGATATATTTATTGAAAAAGAGGAATGTTAGAAATATTAAGAGTCAATTATAATATTAAAATAATTTTATTATAATTATAATATTAAAACTCTTGATATTACCAATTAAACGTTATATGACCCAATTAATTACTGATACATTTACTCTCAATCATATTATTGATTTGGTATATGATGGACGTACCAGATTATAAGTTATGAAATATATATATTAGAGATGATCCTCTCTCCCCTTCAATTCTAATGTCATTCTCTCCATCAGAATACATATCAAGAAAAGAAGGCTTAGAGAGAAAAATTACTCCAACACAATTGTTTACAAGATGTCTGTTGTTAAACCCTCATCATTTTCGAGTATGTCTTTATCTCTTATGTGAAAATCATGTATTCTCAAAAGCCCTTATCATGTTCTTCTTTTATAATTTATGAACGCGAACTAACACGAAAGTTAAAGAAGCTATAGTAATAATGATTTATTGTTTCAAAATCGATTGAATCTGTTGATTCCATCATGGAGTAGTTCAAGAGTTTAACTTTCATAGAATCAATCATTGCGGGGTTTAACAACCTTCATGATGATATGGAAGTTACACCCACACATTCTGTGGTTCATTTAATCATTGTAAACATCAATCTTTATAGAATAATAAAAGAAAAGAAATCATTCGCCTTTTTGAGATTAACGTCAGCTTAAATATTATTTTTTTAATTCTTCAAAGTATAATATATTGCAAACATATATTTAATATATAACCCACCACGAACCATATATTGATCAAAGTAATATTGATTTTGCGTTTATTTTATTAATAATGACATGCTTTTTGTTTGGGTAGGAATAGTCATATCATATGTTTATTTAATTCACATACCAGATTCCACATTTTTTTCATTAAATTAAATATCAAAACATTTGATGAAAACTAAGATATATATCCGCAGAAGTATTATATCATAAAAACAAAAAATGTGAACTTTATATAGGAAGAGTTGCAGAGCTTAACAAAAGTGGATGGGATATATGGAAAAATTTCCAGAAAAATATTTAATTTTATAATAGTGGATAATAGAAAATCAATTTTTTAAGTGCTATATATGGGTTTCAATCATAACAATAAATTTTTTATATAAATATTAAAAAAAAATTAGATGTGAAAAAAATAAAAAAAAAATAAAGTACTATAAGGCAGTTAAAGTTTTTGTTTTATTGTCCATTTTCTTTTCTGGCGTAACTCATATAAAGTTTTCTCGCCTTTCTGTTCCTATCAGGCAGCAATAGTTTTTTCTTCTATCGATTTTCATTATGGCTGTTTTTGCTGCATGTTGAAGGCACTGACTAGAGAGTAACCGCAAGCTTGGTTGACCATTCAATTGTTGTTTATCTTTTTAATTTGTACATAGTTGATGTCATATTTTTATTCTCGTTTTTGTTGACCTAAAGCAACCGAATTATCACTGCAACCTTCATATTGAATCTCTTGACTTCTTTTTCAGTTAGTATTTTTTGTGTGTTTTTTTTTATTATTTCCATTAATTGGTAAGCTAAATTAATGAATTTGTAAAAGGATTAGGTTAACCCCAGCATGTAAAAAATGTAAGTTATTAACTTCATAAGTCATTTAAGCAGACTATTGGGGAGGGACCCATTAATTGATGTCAGACTTTATTGTAAATTCATTAATGTTTACATAGTCTAATGAGGTTACGTATATTATAGCTATAGATAAGCTCTTTCTGCGAAACTCCTCCAGATTGGTTAGAAGAGGCCCCAGATTTGCTTCAGGATTGTTTTTTAGCAGATCTTGTTTTTGTTCACTGAAATTTGTTATCAACTAACTTTAAATACTGCACAAGTCATATAGTAGCTAGTCATTTGTCTAAATGATGTGATAATATATATATATATATATACCAACATTGTCACAATCATTCATTAATTGGTATGGAGATTAATTAATCCATACAACTTAGAAGATTGATTCAATTATCTATGATCGATATTGTTCACCCAAAAAATATATATAACTCAATTCACACTTTATTAATGGAGTCATATATGAACATGAGATTTCACCCAATAATAAAGATAATATTGAAAAAAAGAACGTATGTAATAATGTGTAACAAGTAGTCTTCAATATAATGTCAAATAATATTCATTGTGCTATGTATATTCTACAGATTATAGGTGAGGAATTAGTAAAATACCTCCATTGAGCCATAGGAGAAGAGGTTTTTCTTTTGGTTTATCAGTGGACTCAAAGAACCAATAGAACAGTGCTCTTCCATGAGTTTCATTGACAGTGATATAACCTGCATATTGATTGAACTTCACCGGAGGCTGGCCGGGGAGTCCATGCACTCTGTCGGCTTCTTGTTGTGCTAGCACCTCCTGGCTAAGGTGGTAACTATGTGACACACCTAAAGCTTCATTGGTCAAAGAGATAAGAAGCACAACATGTAGAAGAAGAATGAAAATAACTGAAAACAGAGCCATTATTTGGTATCTCTTTCTTTCTCTCACTTCCTCGATCAGCCTCTTCTAATAAGGGACCAAGACACACTCTTGTTGTCTCTCTTTATGCACACTTCCAAACCGGGCGTGGGCTTTGGTTTATATAATGAAGAGGCTTGACGAGTCGTGTGGATATTATAGCTATTGTTGCTTTACCTCTTAAACAAAAGTTTTATTAGCACCCAAAAGCTATTGATATTTCCCATTTTGGAATCATGCTTTGAGAGTTTAGGCGGTATAAACTATACATGGGACAAAAAAAAAAAAAACTTATTAAAATAGAATTTCTTTTTGAAGGTAAATAAGTAAGAGTGTGTTGCATAAATGGGTTATGAATAAAAAGTTGTAAGAGTCGTGTCTTTTCATTTCGAATAGTCGTACCTCTTTGTTTGTGAATAGTCGTGTCTTTTCGCTTGTGAACAGACGCATCTCTTCACTTGCGAACAGTCGTGTCTCTTCATTTCCAAATAGTTATGACTCTTTGATTTGTGACCTTTCATCTTCTATATATACCTATGTTCAAATGAATCCAAATAAGAAATTTTTCCTCATCCTTTCCAAAACTCTATCAAAATTAATCTTTCCATACTGCCTTGGTCTGCGATTGATCAACGTTCGTTGTGGTCGCCGGTGCTATTTCTTCTTGTAGTGCCACCGTTGAAACAAAGATAACTCATTTTATCCTGGAAGACATTTGTCCACTAACCTTAGACAACGTAGATGCGACAAAGTTATTTTAAGGATACAGTATCTAATATTGGACTCAAAGTTTAATTTTCTGTAATTTTCCCTGCCTTGCATATTGCTTTATAGTTTATTGTGATTGCATTTTTTTTTATATGTGATTGTGTTTCCACTGTATCCTATAACATAGATTTTTACGCTAGCAAGATAACAGAGTGTACATGCTCTTAAATTTTATAGTACTTTGAAATTACCGTATGTCCTTTAAATTAAATAAAAATTAGATATCTCCTTATTAGTTACTAACATTAAAGACAAATTTACTTTAAATTAGTCTTGTTCAAATTATAAAGGACTTATAAAATTCATTATTGCTTTCACTATAAACAAAGGGTGTACATTGACTTTCCAAAGCTTCATTTATGTGTGAGAATGCGGTGTATGATGATTTCATGCAGTTTAAGTGGCATGACTTGCGAACTGGTCAATTGCTTTAAGTGGCATGATAAGCTTTATTGATCTGGACATACTTGCCTTGAACTCAACCATTCATAAATAATTGAAAATATGACCACAAAAATGTCCACATCTAGATTGGACATTCACTACAAATAAAATTGTCTTTGGCTAGTACTGAAAAAGTTAAACAGCAGAGCAAAAGCAATAATAGAATATTCTATTCCGATTTTTTGGGCCGGCACCAGAAACGGCACGGTAGTGACAACAAATGATGAGGGAAAATAATCAATTCACGGTAAAATAGCAGATCGACTACGGCATATATATAAATGTTCTAACTTCCGAACTGTGTTTTTCGGGTAATTTAAAGTTATATATATATATATATATATATATATATATATATATATATATATATATGGGTTTTATAAGAGTTATGTTGTAGGAAAAGCGATTGTGTAATGTTATAGAGATTCGTTTTGCGTGCTGTAATTTTTTTCCTTTTTTCTTCAAAAAGTGTAGACCCCACAAAATATTGTGTGTGTAAAAAAATTTATTGTGTTATGTTAAATGACAAATACAAATCCCTATATATATGCAAATTGAAACGACAAGCGGTGAAAGGAGGGAGGGAAAATGTTACGGAATAGTTACGAGTAGTTAATTAGTTGGTTAAAGAGTATGTTATCAGGAAGTGAAAGAATAACCACGTGGTAAATAGTTTGTTGATAAGTTGTCAGTGAGTTGGTTATTCACAACGGCGGCCATGTACTATTGCCTATGTGGACAAGTGCAGACACTAATTTGCAAAAATAACTATTTTTTTCTATTAAAAAATTGATCTATTTTGCTTCTGGAGTTGCCAACTTATAAGCAACTAAATGTGTTCGGCCTCTCAATTACTTATAACCTGTATGTTTGAATAATATATATGTTATACTACATTCTTTAAATTAATATTGTTATGCTTATATTTGTGCCATTGTGCTTATATTAGTTTAGATTTACTAAGTTGTTACTTTCTCTTGTCTTAATGGTTGGTGTTGTGGTCATGTACCCAAAAATCACATTTTTAATTATTATATCTAACGTTTTGGAAATGCAAGATAAGACTATTTACTGTATATCCTTTCATGGATACTGTGCATGGCGAAAATTTAAAAAAAAAAAAAAAAAAATTGGGGGCACAGCCCCAAACCCTCGTCACTAAATATGCAGACATAAATACAATCTTCTGGGTCCACCACTGGTTATTCACTTATACGTATGTACACTATGGACTGATACATCACACTGCTAGTTCTTCCAAAGTGACTAACAACTTATCAACAAACTATTTCTCACGTTGTTATTCTTTCACTTCCTGATAACCAACTCTTTAACCAACTAATTTCTCATAACTCCATAACTACGTACATTCCGTAACAGAAATTTTTTTATACGTGGTAGAATACCAGATCAGATACAAGTGATGTTTCAGCTTGTAACTTCATTTTGGCTTAATTAAAAGTTCATTGTTCTCTTAACACAAAAAAATAAAATAAAATAATTGCTGATAGATGAATTAAAGAAATAAATTTTAATTTCTTATATATATATATGGGATATATTTTTCTTATGTTGTAGGAAAAGAATTACCTTATGTTGTAGAAACAAAAGTATAAGTGGGACCCACATGTAAGAGGAGAGAGAAAAAAAAAGTGGTGGGACCCAACCCTTTTTGTGTGTGTAGGAGAGATGTTTATCTCATGTAAAATGAGATAAACATAACCCTATATATATATATATATATATATATATATATATATATATATATATATTACAATAACAATCACTAATTTCTAATTAATAATTATTATTCTATGTGTTTTGACTTAAGGGATGTATTCAATTAAGATTTTAATAGATTATTTTTCAGTAAAAAAATTTATTGGTATTCAATTAGAATTTTTAAATTATCTAAAAAAGTCATATGATACTCAATGAGGATAATTAATATTTTTTTATATAGGGTTTCAAATCTGACGGTATTCAATTAAAATTTTAAACAAGGAATATTTTTTTGTATTTAAAATCTTGATGGTTTAATAAATTTTTTATAAGTGTGGATTTTTGTGTGACTTTTTAATAGGGGTATATAAATATTATACCATGTCTCAAAATTTCATCCTAATCCATGGTATTTTTCTGATATTGTATTTTCCACACTAACCACATTCATTCTCTTCTCAAATTCAAGCATTGACTTGTTTTACTCATGATAGCAGTGTTTAAGGGATGTATTGAATTAATATTTTAAAAGATTATTTTAAAATTAAAAGATTCTGTAAATATTAAAAGACTATTTAGAAATGCAATTATTTTAAAGATTTTTCTAAATCTTGATTTTTTAGTATTGTATATTAAATAATTTATTATTATAATTTATAATATTTAAAAGTACCATATGGATTTATAAAATTATAAAAAATATATATAAATTTTCAGAAAATATTACTTTACCAAAAAAATATATAAAAATAGTGATATTAATAAAAGAATATAAAATCAGTTATAATTTACCTAAATTTTATTTGAATGTTGGTTTAGCCTAAAAATTTGAGTTTAAAAAACAATCCAACAAAAGTATCAGGTCAGGTTAAATCCAATCAGATCACTCTAATTATTTCTATAAATAATACATGGCTGGTTATTTCAAGTTGAATGAAAAAAATTGAAAATGTATAATACATATCTTACCTTGGTTAAAAGAAAAGGTTAATCAATCTAATTTTGTCTAAATGTATATTGTGTAATAGCTGTTACTAACAAGGCAAGATTTTAAATTTTAATTTCGTCAAATCTTAAGAGCTTTTATTTAAAAGCAGTCCACTCTCTTTATACCAAATAAATAAATGAATAATCCACTCTTACAGATATTGAAATGCATATTTATTTATTTCTCTTTTTCAAATGGATTTAAACTGTCAACATCGCATTGGGTATCAGTAAGGCATGCTTTTGTAAAAAATCTCAAGCATGCTGTTGGCTTTTTAAATCCAATTTCTTATTGTAAGACGTAAAGGAAAGAATAACATTTTGAAAAAGAAAATAAATAAATATAGCAAGTTGCGATAAGAAACCTTATCATTGATTGTCCTCGCTTAGAAGAAGAAGGGCTACTTTTAAATAAGCGAAAATTATTTCTCCAAATAATGTTATTTTAGGATTATAAGATTAAAAAATTATAATGATAAAGACTAATATAACCCTGCAATATATTAGAATTACAAAAACACATTAATTTCAACCCCAAAATGATATCGTTTTGGGCTCACCAGAGATAAGTTATCTCCATTGACCGGAGAAATCCTTTACCCTTTACATAAAAGCTCTTAAGATTTGAACAAACCAAAATTCAAATTTTTTTTTATACAATGGTGGCACTGAAGTTCAAATTTATGACCTCATGCAAACTACCCAAACCCCAAACAAATTCTACGGGCTTCAAAATTCAAAATCTTATCCTGTTTCTAATAGCTATTACATTATACACATTTAGGGTGGATTTGGTGGTAACTAGTATAAGAGGATATGATAGAATAGATTATTATATTATGTTCTTGGAAAATTATTTTCTCATATTACATGAGAAGAATTATCTCATGTAGCATAGACAATATCACAAGTGGGACTTACAGATAGAAGGAGAGAAAAAAATAAATAAACGAGACCCACTTTTATTTTGTGTATATAGGAACTTGGCTTCTCTCATGTGAAATGAGAGAAATATAACCCTATGTTCTTATTCATTATTTGATGATTTAATGGGATATGATAAGCTTATCTCATTGACTCAA